ACAGTCTAGTAGAATTAACATTTAATCCTTATATGTCCCTGGGCAAGTATTTTAACCTGAAAAAAGGACTTGATTCACCTTCTAATAGGTGAGGACAATGCCGAGTCTAAAAGCTGTGCTGCTGACTTATCAGTGGCCAAGAACACAGATTCTTGAATCACACTAATGGGACAGATTCCAAGCTGTCACTTACTGTGGCCTTGGATAGATAACATCCTTCCTCCTTTCTTCAGTTTCCTCATTTATGAAATGAGGATGATTAACTTTGAAGGATTAAGTAATGCTACTAATCAATAATATTAAAGGAACCTTAAGATCCAGACTCCTGAAAATACTACTTTTAATCAGGTTAAAGTGCTAAGAAATTCAAGCCTGGATCAGAGCAGGAAGGAGAAGGGGCAGAAAAGCCTGAGACTTAATTTGTTTCTGTTGTTGGCCTCCAGGGGGCGATGTTGCATAAGCTGGAAATACCCCTCGAATGAAAGTTCCGCTTCCCTCCTAGGAGCTCCGTAAGTCACAGATCACCCAGGTGCACATTCTGAACAGGCTCAACACCCAGATCAGTCATGGTCAAGGAAGCATCTCTCCCTAATAGTCTCTAGAACTTGCCTAAACAGGGATCTCTTGGCTCTCAGATTTTCCCAGGTGAAAGGACTCCGCATAGTCTGGCACATTACTTTCTGCTCTTTATGGGGGAGCTTCCAGAGAACAGCTCTCCGCTTCCTCCCTGCATAGCCTTGTTCTCATGGACCCTCCTGCTGCTTGGAATGCTCTTCACAGTGAGTAAGTAACGTTGTACGGCATGCTCCTGCCTTTGCAGAAGGAACATCGTTCAGCCTGGAACACTGTCTTGTTCTAAGTAGGTCTGTCTTGGTCTCACTCAGCATTGACGTTGCAGGAGGACCCGGAGCCCAGTCAGTGGCCCAGCCTGACGGCCACATCACTGTCTCTGAAGGAGCCCCCTGGGGCTGAGGTGCAGCTATTCCTACAGTGCAGACCCTTATCTCTCCTGGTACATCCGGACAATGTCGTATGAAGGGAAAAGGCTTTCTCCCCGCAGCAGTGCCCAGTTACAGGCGTTGTAAGTTAATCACAATGTCATGCCAAAGTTCCAGGTGGGATCTTGGCATTGGTGGTTCTGAGTGACCCACCTAGGGCACCTGTCTCCTCTTTTCTCCCTTTTGAATCAGTTTTTCATCCCACTGTGTCCAATAAAAATTACTGATTCCTGATCATCTTTATTTTTCTACACTATTCCTCCCAAGGCTTTTAGTGAACATTTGCAACATCCTTCAACTGTCCATCAGATCCTCACTGTCTGCAGATCACTTCACTTTCTACTTCAATGAAAGTTCACAGGGCCTCCTTTTCCATCCTTTTTGGCTTGAAGTCCAACTACAGAGAATTATTATCATTTACAGACTCTGAGATAAGAGCACAAATGAGAGTTATTTTCACATGTTTTCAAAACCACTTATTTCTCTTTTAAAATAAACTACTATATCTAAAAAGCAAAATACAAAAAAAATTTTTAAATCTAAAAAACAGGTGTTAAAATGCATATACAACTGAATTTGTACATTTGATTTTAAATGACAGAGTCTTAAGAGAAATAAAACTATTTACAATTCTAGTTTCAATGTCCATCTGGTGGCTACAGTAAATAATATCACTCATTAGGCAGGTTCAGAATAAAATAAATATATACAGTTAAAAGTAATACTGTTTAATACTGCCAAGTGCTCTAGCCAGCATGAGCAACTGCTGTGAATACTGTGCTGACTTGTGAGCATCCTTCAGAACCACAGACGAGGACATAAGTGAAATCATGGATCCTCAGCACTCCTGGGAAACACTTTCCTTACGCAAGAATCTACTGCATCCATGCCATCTGAGAAGAAGGATCAGGCTAGATAATTACTTTCAATTTTTCTTTCCGAAAATTACCACCCCCTCCCTCAAATTCCAAATCAGAGTCTGTCTTCTCCGAAATGTTCTCAGAAAATGTCCCTCAGTCATAAAATAATGACCCTTCTTGTTCCCCCTTTCCCCCCAGCCCTCGTCACTCGTCAGAGCGCAGCGGAGGCATGAGGTGGGGCTTCCTGTCACACGGTGTGGGCTCGAGCAGGATTTGTCGGTTGAGCTGCTTGGTTTCAGGGGCTGGAATGTTTCCAGAACCAATCATGAGACTCACCATCTGATGAGTTAAGTATCTTACAGTGAAAACATCCCAGCAAGAAGGCGAGGCGTCATGAAGAGGCTGGTGGGCGCTGTGCTGGGGCTTCTGTGTGCCCAGGTTTGCTGTGAGTTGGGGCTGCCCCGCAGGGAATGTGCAGGACTGAGCAGCTGCAGTGTTGTTGAGGGGACAGGGATGGGAGCTGACAAGTCTTGCAGAATTTCTAGCCCTCTCATCATCCCTGGGGGCACTTTCAGGGTTTTGTAGGAACTAGATACCCTCACCTGTGACTGTTTCTCTATTTCTCATCAGGTGTGACAGGGCAGGATGTGGAGCAGAGTCCTCCAGTCCTGAGTCTCCAGGAGGGAGCCACCTCTACGCTGTGGTGCAAGTTTTCCACCACTGTGTCCAATGTGCAGTGGTATCGTCAGAACCCCGGGGGCCGCCTCATCCACCTGTTTTACGTTGCTTCAGGGACAAAGCACGATGGAAGATTCAGTGCCACAGCAGTCATTCAAGAACGCCGCAGCTCCTTGAACATTTCCTCTTCCCAGACCACAGACTCAGCCACGTACTTCTGTGCTGTGAGCACAGTGCTCCCCGGGCACCTGCAGCCTGAACACAAACCCTCAGCGGGCTCAGCCCCCTCCAGCCACAGTCTCACCATGAGGCCGCCACCTGCATCTGCAAGGCTTATGAGTCCCCACCTACATCAGTGTAGTTTCAATCACAGACACCTTTTCACCCTACAGATTTGGGACTTTGGTCTTTATCTTCCTTCTCAATCTGTATCTCCTTCTGCACTAAAAACGGCTAACTTGGGACTAGCAGAGTAGCTGATAAGAGGACAGAATTCAGAATTAAAACACATATTTACCACAGTAGGCTGGACTCCATGATGGTGAAATGTGAAAGGGATTAAAAGAAAAGTCACTCCAATAAAGATATTATCCAGCTTAGCCGGGTGTCTGAAGAACGTTCAGGTCCACCTCAGTGTGTCCCAACAGGCGATTGTGAGTACATCCTACCAGTGCTGCAAAGCCAACAGACCAAATTCAAAGTTCAATATGAACTTGATCACTTAGAACAAATTTATTTCTTGTGTTTCTACATGCAAAAAGTCTGAAATCAATTTCACTGTCTACAATCAAGGTCTTGGCAGGCATGGCTCCTTCTAGAGGCTCTGAAGGAGATTCCAGTTCCTTGTCTTTTCCAGCTACTGGAGGCCGCCTGGATTCCTCGGCTCATGAGCCTTTCTTGAATCTCTCCAACGTCTTGCTTCCACCACCACTGCTCCTTCCTCTTCTGCAGTCACATATCCTTCTGCTTCTGTCTCACAAGGTGTAAAAAGTAAATTAACAGAAATCAGAATTAAATAGAGGTGGGAGACAGTGGGAGCGCTCATGCCCTGTGAGGAGAGCAGAGCTCAAAGGGCAGAAGAAGGACTTGTCTTGTTTCCTGGCAAGGACTCAGCCAATGAGAAGCCGTGGACCCTCTTCTTTACTACAGCCCTCCCCACTTCTCCTCTCTGTAAACACATTCTCCTTCCCTTGCCGTGTGGGGACTTGGATGTGGTTACAGACCTTGAACTGCAATTCTCTTCTGATCTAGTATAAAACCATCTTTGCTGGAGAAATTTCTGGCAGTCTATTTGTTTCTGGTAAATAGAAGATATTTATGATTATATTTAGGGTCTACCCTGATAATCCAGGAAAATTCATATCAAGAACCTTAAGTTAATCACATATCCAAAGTCCCTTTTGCCACATAAAGTCACATTTTCATTTTATGTAGTTAAAAATTTTATTGAAGTATAAGTGACTAGCTATGTTATATTAGTTTCAGTTCCACAACATAGTAATTTGATATTTTATCAATTACGTACCAAGTG